CATTTTTCCAAAAGTGATAGTCCATGATGTTGTAACTGACCCTTGAAAGAAAAAAGGACGCTTGATAAAGAAATGAAAAATGACCATTAAAAAAAAAAACATACAAGGAAATTTAGAAAATCAAGTAATCTAAACCAGGTAAACAATCATCACAGCATAACTAGCTTTATGACAACACGTAACTGAGAATAGCACCATGAATCTTATTAAATCCAGCCGCCCTTGGCCCTAATCCCCACGGTCAGTATGGGGATCCATGGAAGGAATCACCTGATCACGCGATCTCCATCACATTGGGTGGCCTGATCTAGGAAAGATTATATTAGGCATATGCATGAACATAGTTTTTTTATTTCTTTATAAGATATCTTTGTATAGATCTAGAAATAGGATACTTTTGAGCAAATAAAATAGGCCTTTCTTCTCTCCAATTTCTCTGAATTTAACAAATCCAATTTAAATGATGCTCGAAACTGTGCATTGCATACATGCCCTAATCCAAGAAAATCCTTTTTGCCAGCACCCCTAACATATTAATCCTTTGGCTTGTTAAAGTCATTTCCGGGAACTTTCTGCAAAGGAAATCATAATTATAAACTGAAAATAGATTTTTCTTCCTTTATAATAATGAAAATAATTCTATCTAGAGGCATACATCCAGTTAACAATAAAATGATATGTTTTTTTCAAAATAAAATGTGATTCCCCAACAATGAATAAATGTTCTTCAAGATTTACTTCCTTCAATTCATACGTAATACATAAAATGACACTACCTCATAAAGCGAGCTATCATGATCCATATTTAAACGTCGGTTATACACTTAAATGGAGCCCCTCATGTTGGGGAAAATTCATCTCGCTTCTACTGAGCAGATATTTTTAGAGCCCATTAACTTGCCAAAAGGCATTTCCATGAAATTATGATAGCAAGAGAGTTCATGTTTATCGTACTTATGCAAACTTGAAAAGACAAGTTTAAAGAGATTTGAGAGATTCTTATGTGGAAAGCCCATAGATGAGGAAAATGGGTTCTCAGCCATACAAAATCAACTTATTTTGAAAATTTGCTCAAGGATTGTCAGCTCCAAGCAAATAGAGGGACTTCTAATATCATGTTTACCAATTAAGGCAAATAAAATCAGATGGCAATAGAGGGACCTCACTAATAGCAGACCCATGTGTTGGATGAAAATACAATAAAAGGAGTAGCAGCAAGGCCAAAAAATCCTGCGAAAATGACAAAGTGTATGATAGGAAATACTGAGTTCGCAAGTAACCTAAGGAATACCACTTGAGTCGCAAGCAAACCTATCACTAATTGAGATAAAACAGCGAGAATTCAGCCAAAATCTGGGCCGAATCAAGCCCCAATAACTAAATTGCAATAAGGAAAACCAAAAAGCAAAAGCAACACGAAATCAAGATACAAGTGATCCCAAATTCGAGAGGAGGATCGTCCTCTCCCAAATCTCTAGACAAGAGAGCTAGAGCCCAAACACCCAAGAAACATCCAAGAAGAAAACAATACTTGCATGCCCTTCCCTAACCCCTTACCTCTCTTATTAAAGACCTTTTCCACCACTCAAATCTTTCTAAAAATAATTTTCAAAATAATTAAATCCCGTGGACCCCCACCTTAGGCAAGTAATTTAAAATTTGGGCAAGAAGGAGGCAAATTGCCTTCACTTTGGTATACAAGAGCGGCCATGATTGGGCTGGGCTGAGGCGGTTCAGAAGGAACCGCCTCAAGAGGCGGGTTCCAAAGGACACCGCTGTAATCAGTGTATTGGGTTCTTCCAAATTGTGCTAGGCATACGAATTGTAGTGCATTGATTAACATAGTTTAAAAATCGTGTTGTCATTGACTAGACGCAATAAAACGAAACCGTTTATTGTCAATGAATGCATATAAGATCCCAATTCACAATGAGTGAACAATGGAATCACAGTAATTTTATCAAATTGTTGAAAATGAGCAAGCACAACTGGTCGACATGTACAAGTATAATTCCACCAACAAAGAATTTCAATGCGTAGCATGATACATCGTGACAACTGAAGGTCCCCTTCGAGGCCGCAACAATTTAGAAGATAGTTGTAAATTATTGTAGAGAAAAATAACTCCTTTTAAAACTAGTTATCGGTATTATACATATTTCTTTTTATAATAAAAATAAAAATAACTTTCTTACTGCTACTATATTAAGCAGACCTTGTGTAAAATGCAAGCTTTCTCACTACAGAAATTTTTTGAAAAGAATAATAGCCAAATAGAAGTCGTGTAGTTGTCTGAAAAACAAAGCACTGAGAAAGCTACTCAATAGCCTTATAACAAAAACAGTAAATCAAATCCCATTACAATATTGGTGATAAGTGGTGTACTCATCATCAGCATGTTCAAACAAGCATCATGTTTTTTTGTTACGTTGTAAAAAACAAACAATATGTGGGTCCTATAAGCAAAGCAATGAACAATAGCACAAATTTTCCAAAGGGATGAAAAAATTCTCTAACACAAAACAAAATAGTAAATCTTACAAAATGAATTTAATGAAACTTGCTTATGTTCTTTGGACAGTCATTTGGTCCTAAAAAGATTAACTTTCAATATTTACTTTAACAAACAATCGAGATCAAGCCTCCCATGATCAACTTTCATTGAATGAGCCAT